ATGTAATTTTGTTGTTGTTGTTTTTGCAGCAGCACACCGCAGCATTGGAGTATCATCTTAGACTACGTGATTCCAAGTCCCGATGTGGGGCTTGAACCCACAACCATCTGACAACACACTTTCATTTATCATGACTGCATTTAGAATAATAATAATAATTTCTGCATTTGATATAGCGCCTTATTACACCATTCAAATGTCTCAAAGTGCTTCACAGGCTTTTACTGTAAAGGGAAATGTGCATTTTGTAGGCTAATGGGGCAGCTAATTTATGTGTTGCAATTTACCACAAACAACCAGTGAAGTGAAAGTGAAATGAACAGTTTTATCTGGAGGAATGCCACCAAAACACACAAAGGGGTTTTAGTGCCAATGGAATCTTGGAAGTCCTAATGAGGGGTTTTTCACCACCAATTTCCGTTTTTTTCTTCAATTAAATATATTATACATTCTATGCACTCTACACAGCACACACCCACACACACACATATATATATATATAGAGAGAGAGAGAATCATAGAATTATACAGCACAGAAGGAGGCCATTCGGACCATCGTGTCTGTGCTAACTCTTTGAAAAGACCAACCCAAATCAATCCCACTCCCCCACGCTCTCCCCACAGCTCTGCAAACTTGTCCTCCCCAAATAATTATCTACTCAGAGAGATGTATATAACTTCCATGCTGGGCAGACAGATTATGAAACATGGAGCCTGATGCACATCCATTAGGTTTCAGAATGCAAACTACACAGAGAAGATATCAAAAAGGTTAATGCTCAGTATTCCCCGACCTCCAAATAGAAACTCGAGAGTTGAGTGGGGACAAAGAAATCCCATTAACATGAAATAGAATATTTTGGAATCGGACGACAGTTTCAACAGACTCCAGAGGCTCCGCGTAATATCACAAGGGCTGCGGAGACAGAATTCCCTTTATAGACAGCGGGGAGAAGAGCAGCAGAACATGCGAGTGCTGATTAACAAGTTATCTCCATGACAACACTCGCTATCCAAGTTGCCCGTCAAACCCTCTGTGTAATTTCTGTTGAATGTTCCCCACAGGGTTAACTCTTGATATCCGCTCAATGAGTCTCACTGAATCACGTTACAAAGCTGCAATGTGAATCACAGCGATATAACAGCCTGGAATATATATATATATGTATAATTTATATAATATATAATAAATAATATATCAGAAATATAAAATAAAAAATAATAATAATTCGGTCCCTCAATCCGCGACCGTTTGTGGGACGCTGCTGTCCGCAATTGGCCGCCGCATTTCGCCCACAAGATATACAGTCAATTCACTTCACAGTATATTCTGTGAAGCGCTTTTGAGACGTCTCGAAGATGTGATAAAGTGTTAGATCTAATGCAAGGATTATTACTATTATTATAATTATATATATATAATATATATATTTAAGCTTAACGGCAATCTCGTGGACACGTTATGAACAGAACCCAGGGTAGCTTGGAAAGGCTCGGTTCTACATGAAAGGTGCCATCCAAGTGCAAATTGTATAATTAAAGGGGAAGGCAGGCCTTTGAGGAAAGAGTTCTTTTCGTAAAAGAATTGTTACTGAAATAGCTGGACACATTTCAAAGGTTCGAATTGCACTGCAGCTATAATTTCCCCTTGCGAACACACTTGCATTCATACTTTAATGAGGCTTCGCTATGTGACTTGGGCAACACATGCCTTCTGCAGGTCTTGCTTAGTTAGGTATTCACTGGGAGCACTGCACTAAAAGGCATTGTGTGGATTAGACTCGCGCAGCTGGCAGGTCATTACCGCCAATACTGTCATCTTTTATGTTTCGGCGATAAAGCAACCCAGCAAACAAAGGCTGAAATGTTACACACTGTATGGGAGGAAACTGAAAGCGAAGGGAATAATCATAAGAATAATAATCCTGGCATTTGATGTAGCGCCTTAACGCGTCTTTGAGACGTCTCAAAGCGCTTCACAGAATATGCTGTAAAATGAATTGACTGTGTACTCTATGGGTGAAACGCGGCAGACATTTGCGCACAGAAAAAACCCACAAAACAGTTGTGGATTGAAGTGACCAAATTATTATAATTATTATGTATTTTATTTTTATTTAAACTATGGCGAAAACACGTGAAAGGCTTGGAGTCTGTGATACACAGACACAGCACTGGCTTTGCTTCAGAAGTGAGCTTGTTTCATTCATTAATCCTTGAAATCTTTCCTATGTCGCCTGCTGCAGAACACTTAATGAAATCTTGGTTCATTTATCACAAGGTGAAGAGGCGGAATTAAGTGCACTATTCACATCACAGTTAACTCAAGGAATGAGGAATCCATTGGCAAGTACCAGGCAAGGGAATAACATAGAGCAATGGAGTATCCATGATTGGCTAAAATTCTCTTTGCCCAGTGTTTGGAGTTAGTTCCCAACTGTGCACAGTCTTCTCTGCGAATCTAGTGGGATCTTTAACCCTATAATATAATAATATATAATCCTTGCATTTGATATAGCACCTCATCACGTCTTTGAGACGTCTCGAAGCGCTTCACGTTTGACCTGAAAAGACCGTGGATTAAGGTTTCATCTGAAGGACGTCACCTCTGATAAATGTGGCTCAGTTAAGGCACTACACTAGAGCATCAGCCTCCCTAGGCTATGTGAGTTCAAAGCCCTGATGTGGGGCTTGAACCCACAGCCTTCTGACTCGGAGTCGAGAATGCTACCAACTGTGCCAGGCTGACAGCTCTGGATTTAGAACATTTCCAACAGAATCATAGAAATCCTTGACAGTAGGTGACCATCTTACCCACTGTATCAATCGTGTTGATGTTTTACTCCTCTAATGAATCCACCTCCCCTAATCTCAATTCCCGTGCTCTCCAAAACATTTCTCCACATGCGTCTGTCTAAATCCTCTTTGAATACCCTTGTGAATGTGCACCTGAAGTGAAATGTCTCAGCGGGAGGGAGGCTGGGGAGATTAACACCACTTGAGTACTTACAATGCAACACAATGTTATCGCTTTGAACCATAATAAATGAGTTGGTGAAAATGACATTCTCGCTGTGTTAGAATTAAAAAGCTCCTTCCACTTACATCGCTTGGTCGAATTCCAGCTCAGTCCTCTCGAGGTCAGAAGAGAATGACCCAGTACTTTATGCCTGCCGTTGGCTTTTCCCTATATTACAGCTCATCTGGTTTCATTCCCCTCCTGCCCCCAAACTGCCTGGTGAATGTTAATTAACCCAAATGATCCACGAGCAGAATTAACTTGCACCTTACTTTTGCGAAAGCTTTGTTAAAAAAAACATTTATGAGCCGTGTTATGAGTCTAAAGTGGACCACAATTAAAATGCCCTTTTCACCAGGTGGGAGGGCAGAATAAATAATGCTTGAAATTGATAAACGCATCTTTCAGGTCGGGAGGACGTCTCAAAGGTGAAGGGTTTAACATCTCGTCTGAAGAACGGCACCTCCGACAATGCAGTGCACTGAAGTGTCAGCCTTAGTTCAAAGTCTAAATGTAGGGCTTGAACCCTACAACCTTAGGACACAGAGGCTCAGTATATTGAAGAAGGACATCACTAACTGCTGCGTCAAAATCACGCTCGCAAAGCGCTTTAACCCCCACCCGAAGCACAACAACGAACAACGACGTGCATTGATTTATACAGTGTCCTTCACGCAGAGTGAGGTTGCTTAACAACGGTGGAGTAGACACCGAAACAGGGATAGACCGTTGGCACAGTCGAGAAGGAAGGTATTCAGGTGCGATACGAAGGCTGGCGAGGAGTGGGGCAAGACGAAGGGATGAGACAGGGAAAAAAAAGAGACAGAGAGAGAAAAGGAGATTTTTTTTGTGCAAGCAGCTTCTTTGACAATGCTATCGACAAAAACAACAACAAAATGACATTTGTATAGCAGGGAGGACGTCCCAAGGCGCTGGACAATCAGTTTCGGATTAAGATATGCATCCACTTGAGGCTTGCATTTGTAACAAACCACCAATTTACAAGGGTTTCAGGCTGGTGTGAGAGATAAAGCCGTCTACTCCAAATGAAAAGAGGCGCAGGATTATTCATGTTATCTGACAGTAATTACAGTATGACTAAACCGATAGCTCCTGGTATCAGGTCCTAATGGTTACGCTCACTGCATCAGTACCTGTGCTCGCAGAACGCACTGACTCATCCCCCATTAAAAGACGATGAGAGGAGAGATCAAAAGGGGGACGTTGGCTGATCAATAAAACAAAACTTCAAATGAAATCAAATCAGTATTAAAAACTTGCGCACTGAATCTCTTTCAGTATACAGAGGGAGAAAAAACAGGCCCATCCCTTCCTCATCTTCAGGTGGCCCTTCCTCTTCGACCGTGCCTTCGTAGCGTGACCCGTGCCTCTTCCCCCCCACCCCCCCCACCACCCCGGGCTCGGGTCACTCTACCCCACTGTCAAGCGCCCTGGAACTCTACCCTGTGTGAGGGGCGGGGCGGGGAGGGGGGGCACTACAGACATGTTGTTGTTGTATTTGGTGGCAGAAACACGGCAGCCAATTGCACACAACAGTGTCCCACAAACGGTCGTGGATTGAGTGACCAAAGTAATATATATTTGGTTTGAAGGGATAATTATCCCCGGTAAATCAATCCGCCAATCGACTAACTACCGGGATCCTACTTGTTGCTAAGTAAACAGAGGTGTGTGGAGTGAGGAAACTTGCCTAACGTCTCGCCCTGCCCAGGAATCGAACCCAGGTCCACTCGCTTGCGAGGCGAGTGCTCTGACGCTACAGGACTCCTACAGAAATAATTGTGCAGCATTTCAGTCAGTCAGTCAGTCCTGCATGACACTGTGTACTGGGCAAGACAGCAACCTGCCCAGTACCTTATGGCTCAGCCACTGACCCAATGAACTCACTGATGAACTGAAGCTTATTATAGAGCCCAACTTAATCCCTGACCACGGGTTTCATGTCGGAGTTGCCACTTACTGCACAGAGCAATGATGTGGCTGCTGTCTTCGTGCACGAACTTCTTGGTGACAGCTTCCTCCATGATCTGTTTCACCTGCAGCGACAAAGACCAAAAGAAAAGGTTGTTGGTATGTTTCCTGTGGTTTCGCTCTCCCGCCCGGTGTGCAGCGTTCTCGAGAACAAGCCCCAAACCCGCGGTGAGCTTTATTAATGAAATAGAATTTAACAAATAAAGAAAATGATACAGTCAACAATAACAACAACAAAAATGACATTTGTATAGCCCTTTGCACGCCAGGAGTGGGTCCCAAGGCGCTACACCTGCACAAATTACACTGAAATGATTGCAGTGAGACTGGTAATAATCAGGGTTTGGGCCAGTCAACTCTTTGCTTAAGTCAATTGACTGATTGTTACCGACATTCGATGAGAGTTCGATCCACACATCTTATAGCATGTATCTCATCTCCCAGGAAGACTGTCAGCCTTATATTCAGACACACTATTTGCATCCACATTAAATTCCATCTGTCATTCTTAACTACGTCCACTTCATTGGCCAGATGTCTTGTCAATGAATTTCCCCTGCATTAGTCATCTGGCCACATAGCTTTGTGTCTACGGAAAATTGCACGATGTAATTAGAAGCCACCACCTTCATACCACGTATAAACAGTATAACCAACAGAGAGACAACAAACCATGTGCAACTCTATCGTCTGGAGCCCTGTAGCTCAGTGGTTAGAGCACTCGACTCGCAAACGAGAGACCTGGGTTCGATTCCCGGCAGGGTAAAACGTTGGGCAAGTTTCCGTACTCCACACGCCTCTGTTTACCCAGCAGTAAGTAGGAACCCGGTTGTTAGTCGATTGGCAAATCGCTTTTCCAGAGATGATAATAGCTTCAAAAAAAATTGAGTCATTTCAATCCACGACTGTTCGTGGGACGCTGCTGTGCGCAATTGGCTTCCGTGTTTCGCTCACAAAATATACAGTCAATTCACTTTACTATATATTCTGTGAAGCTCTTTGAGACGTCTCGAAGACATTATAAGGCGCTACATCAAATGAAAGGATTATTATTATTATTTTCAGCACCAATGAAGGAACATTTCCAATGGATGGGATTTAGTGCAGAGAATGTCGCAAAATGATTGCTGGAGCTTTTAGATTGCTAGATCCATAGGTTATAATAAAATCTTAGAAAGTTACAGCACAGAACTTTCTGTGGCCTCAGGTGGAGTTCTGTGTCCGATTCTGGACACCACACTTTAGGAAGGATGTCAGTGCCTTGGAGAGGGAGCAGAGAAGATTTACAAGAATGATACCAGGGATGGGGGACTACAATTATGTGGAGAGACTAGAGAGGCTGGGATTATTCTCCTCAGAGCAGAGAAGGCTGAGGGAAGAATTAATAGAGGTCTTCAAAATAGTGAGGTGTTTTGATGAAGTAGACAGGGAGAAACTGTTTCCTCTGCCAGGTGGGTCGGTAACCAGAGGACACACATTTAAGATAATTGGCAAAAGAACCAGAGGGTAACGAGGAGAATATTTTTTTACCCAGAGAATTGTTATGGTCTGGAATGCACCGCCTGAAAGGGTGGTGGAAGACGATTTGATAATAGCTTCCAACAGGGAATTGGATAGGAAAAATGAGCAGGGCTATGGGGTAAGAGCGGGGGAGTGGGACTAGTTGGTAGCTCTTCCAAAGAGGTGGCACAGGCATGGTGGGCCGAATGGCCTCCTTTTGTGCTGTAAGATACTATGATTCTAGAAGAATCTTCATTGAGTCTGAACCAGCTATTTCATTCAATCCCAAGGCCCCCGCTCTTAGCCCCATAGCCCTTCAACCCTCTATCCTTCAATAAAATCCTTCACTTCACAAATGTTTGCGGAAAACATTGCTGTGCACAAATTTGCTGCTGGCATTCGCCCACAAAATGTGCGGTCACTGTATTTTACAGAATATCCTGTAAAGAGCCTTGGGACACCCTCCCACTGAGAAGCACTATACCAAATGTAAGGTATATTAGTACAGTAAATTCCTGTTAACTCCTCATTACAAGGGAAAAGGGCTCAGTGACGAGTTATCCAGAGGCAGGTTAGTCATATGCATAAATACATAAATAAATGCAGCCAGGATATTGACCACATGATGATTTTTTTGGTCAGCCAGGTGTACTGACTTCATATATTGTGGGTGAAATATCTGCATTGGCTACAAAACCATGCTTTTTTGAGTTAGTGCAAACAGAGATGACGTAGTCAAATATAATTGGCAAATATCCGATTTTAATATTACATCTGGAAACCCATAATGAGATGCCCACTGAATAATTGCAGACTTCAATTTGGACACAATGAAATTTGGAGTCAGTTTAATGAATGGTTAGGCTTCACGTCACCATACTCTCCGGACATTAACGTTAAAGGAACTAATTGAAATCCTTTTCCTTTTCCTTTTCCGATCCATAACACAAGTTAAAAAAGAAAATGGCTTCTAATGCACCCTCAAATCACAATCACCAGATTACATTTGTGAGACACTACCGTGCTCAATTGGCTGCCGCGTTTTGCCCACAAAATACACAGTCAATCCATTTAACGATACATTCTGTGATGCGCTTTGAGACTTCTCAACGTCGTGATAAGGCGCTATATCAAATACACTTTCCCTTTTCCACCCTCTTCGACTCCCACCCACGAGTATCAATCGCTTTGAGACATCTTTCCAACATGATGGGTTCCGTATATACAGGGCGATCAAAAAGTCGTGATATCTACCCTATCATCTTACAAAATCATCATTTCTTTAAGACGTATTGGACATTATAATGGTATCATGACTATTTGGTCACCCTGTATATAAATTATATTGCATTGGTCGTAAGGCTTGCTTCCAAATACGTCCAATTTCAAAAATCCTTTTTGCAATCAATGTGGAGAGCTAGGATCAATATCAAAGGCTGTTGCAAGTTCACAGCTGTGTGGTCCTGTGTGATGCATGTCCCTGCTGGCTGTAAAGTTTACAACATCCATAAAACCCTTCTGTTCAATAAAGAAAAGCCAACAAACCAGAGGCCCTGAAGCCTCCAGTTACAAATAAAGAATATTTTTGTACAAATGTTTACTCTACAAACTAACATTAGGTGGAGGCAATCGCCGTGTTGCTGTTTTTTCGTATCTGCAGTATGTGCTGAAGGGTTAGAGCAAAAGAACATGAGAATTTGTAGGCGAAAGAAGACTAAGGTCCATCCAGTTCGTCTTCCACCATCTTGGCAGTCGCCTGACAAGTCATGTCCCAAACTAGATACTGTATCCCGAGATATTATTTCCAAACAGAAATCTATCTAATTTTTTTCTTGAAAGGATCAATACTTTAGGTTTAGGATCACAAGATTAGTTCATATCACGAAGGCCCTGATCTCATCCTTCCTGGATACCCATCCCCACTCACCCATCCTCCTCCCATCATAGCATCAAGCCCCTCCTGGTGACCTGTTAAGGGAGTAATAAGATCCTGGGATCCCGTTCTGCTTAGGTCGGAAGATGATTACTATGTTCTGGGAATCACAGGCTGCGGAGGACGTTACGCATTGGATTGACTTCATTCATAAAAACCTGCGCCTTGTAACGAGTCGAAAGAGCATTTCTATCTTGTGCCGAGAGCATCAAAAGTGATCTATTCATTAAATCTTTACAATGGCACTTCTCATTTATTAAAAAGGGTATTTTTAGCAACGAGAGTATGACAAGTCCCTGAGCTTCTGTGAAGTTGTCAGAGTGAACTCCATAATCCACTGCAGAATGTCATTCATTTGTCACATCAATTCTTCATGCTCAAGTGACCTCATAAGCCTTGACATTGAAATCGGAGCAATTCACAAGGCACCTCAAAATAAGGTACTTAACCTGACAGAGAAAACAAATCACTAGTCGCATACGCATACATCAATGGACAGACTATTCTATTCATTGATACTTAATAGAAATGAAGAGTAGTAATTATAACAATAATAATCCTTGCACTTGATGTAGCGCCTTATCATGTCATTGAGACATCTCAAAGCGCTTCACAGAATATACCGTAAATTTGTGTATGAGGAGATGGGGGTCGAGGAGCTATATTTTGCTGGAATCAAATAACTACCTAGATACCCAAGACTAACCTTAGCAAGCAGGGGTTGTACTTTCTTCAGGGCAGAGGAACTGAATATGGGCCTAACCCACTAAGGTGAAAGAAATTAAAGGACGTGGAACAAACACTACAGATGGAACCAACTCAATTCTCCGGATGATTCAAACATCGTGACTGTATTCTCCATCAAGCCTTGAAGTTAAGAGAGGCTGATAATCAAGTCCTTAAAACGCTGTTTCGAGAACATTCAGCATAAAATCTTTCCTAGGAATTAAAGCTCTTTCTTCTCCAACTAACAAGTTCGCTTGAAAGCCGGCAGTTTACATCCACTCGTCGGTTTCCCGTGGGAATTCATTTTTTTTTTATATAAAATATTTTTTATATAAAAACTTGATTTCTAGGCTGGAATGAGGACCCGAAACAGAAATGTAGCATAAGAATCTTCTAACTGGATGTGGGACAATGCCTTGGCAGCTTGCATTAGTATATGTTATTATGTGTTAGAGCAATAGCTCTGTCTCAGTTCCTCCACTTACCCCGTCTTCAGATCGTACTTGAAGACCTTCCTCTTCGACCGTGCCTGCGGTCATCTCCCCTCTCTCGTTGGCTCGGGAGAGCCAGGGGGAGAGGGGAGATGATGGCAGGCACGGTCAAAGTCACTGAGGGGAAATCATCCAATGACTGGTGATGGGGGGAAAGAGGGAAAGAATTGCTCCACTGCGATGTCCAACAAGCAGCCAAGGCTACGTGCAAATTGGCAGCCGTCGTTTGTCTACAAAACACGCAGCCACTGCACTTTACAACGGATTATGTGAAGCGCTTTGGGACATTGCGACAATGGGGAAATGAAACAGATCAAAGCTCGTTATTAGTAATATTATTCTATTAGGCCACATTACAGTTCCAGGGTGGACACATGCAACTATGTCAGTCAGAAGCACTATAAAAGGAACAGCT